CAATGTTGAAACCAGTAACTTTTGGAATGTTAGCTTCACTCATCCACCATTTATCCAATGTTCAGTCTTCTTCTTGTGGATAAAGTAGAAAATTAAATTACATAAATTATTGCTAATCTTAATAAAAATAGTCTGCATTTCACAGTTTGTATATCTTAAAACTATATTTGCATATGCAAATCTTTTTCTTTCCGGTAAAAGTGTTTTTACTCTTGGATGGAGAATTCAAACTTTAAACTATATTAAATAAACTACATTTTGCGTATTTTAAACTATATTTGCATAATGCAAATTTCTTTTTTACTCTATCACACATAAGGGTGAAAATGTGTTTACCTTTGGACCAAGAATTCAAACTTTAAAATACGAAAAAGTTTGAACTTAGCGCCTACTTAAAAGATATATATCTTACCCAGCCCGAGCCTTTGTTACGAGGACTCGGGCCACATGCTTCATCTTCAATTCCTTTGAATGCTTGGTGTCGGGTCCTACTTCCTCCCGGTGGCGAGATGCACTACTCAGAGTTCCCACTTAGATTCATATGTTTTCACTAATTAGTCTGCGCCACTGTAGTTCGGGCTCAAACTCCTCTAGAATTTTTGTTAGCAGATACATGGCATGTGGTGCTTCACTTAATCCAAGAGATGTTATTTTATCTCCAATAAATACATACGATAATTTTAAAATTATTTTGTAATTTCTTGCTATAATTAGTATGTTTTTTTAGTATTTATTAAATTTAAAGTATAAATCGGGATTTCAATAAATTTTATGACTGAAAATTCTGTATGTTTTTCATATTTTTGGTGTTTTGAATAACAAGTCATTATAGGTAAAAACATATATAATAAATTCATAACTATATTTATACCATTTTTTCTAGCCGAAACGCAAGATTTATGTCGTTTACTGATTGTTGAGAAAAAGTTCCGTATTGGGCCAAACTTTACAACAAACAAATATCCGTAAAGTGCGTAAACCAAATTGGGCCGAACTTAAAAACAAACAAATGTCCGTAAAGTGCGTAAACCAAACATAAATTGCAAAAAACCGAAGCCCATTAGGGTTAGAATGAGGATCAAAGAGATACCCTCTAATATATAAACCGCAAAATAGCTAATAGATGAATCGCCGAAAAAATGAAGAACAACAATACGCAAGCGAGATCATCCATCTCAATGTAGAGAGATTTTGTTCTTGCGAATCTATATTGTTTTGTTCTTTATCTTTTTCAATCTGTGTTTTGCCGTAAACTTTTGAGAGACTTAAATATTTTTCTTTAAACACGATATCAGATTTTGAGGTTTATTGGAGAGCACTTCTTTAAATTTCTCGAAGCCTAAATTTTGTTTACTTCTTTAAATTTTAGCTCTTCTAAAAGCATTCACAGTTCTTCAAATTTCTCAACGCCTAGATTTTGTTTTTGTTTTGTTCTACGGTTCATGATTTTTTTTAAAACTTGCATTTGATGTCTTTTATCTTTTTTCATTTTTTTAGAAAATCGCAGTCATTTTATTTTAAAATAACATCTACAAATAAAAGCCTAAACCAATCATTATCGTTTTCCCTTTACTGGATATTTTAGAACATGTAAATTTATTGATTTTGTTATTAAACACCATTAAAAAAAATCTTTAGATTACATAAATTTTATTTGAATTGATTTCTATTTTCATCTAGCATAACAA